GGATGAAACAACAATGGGATCGGAGGCACATTATATAGGCTGAGGAGAAAAACACACAAAGATCAGTATTGTTTGATAATTGACAAACTAACCAAAGTTAGTTGAATGAGAAAATTTCAATTTTGGTCACATGATTATAGGGGTATTGTTAATTTTAATACCTGACTTTTAAAAGTGTCAATTTAGTACCTTGACTATGTAATTTTTGTCAATTTTGGTCACTCCAGCCGAATTGACGGTCAAATTTGGCTGGAAAAATTTAATCAAACATTTAGTCTATAATCTGAGGGGCAAAATCGTCTTTTGATCCTTTCTAGACTAAATGTTGGATTAAATTTTTCCGGCCAAATTTGACCGTCAATTTGGCCGGAGTGACCAAAATTGACAAAAATTACATAGTCAATGGACTAAATTGATATTTTTAAAAGGAGTTAATACCCAAAATAGTCCTCCGACTATTAGCTAATACTTGATTTTGTCCCAAAGTATTAAGCATACTCAATTTAATCTTTAGAAGGTGGGTAATTTCTTTCTTTAACACTACAGTTTATGGCTTCATCTTTCAATCAGTCCACTTTACCTTTCACTTTTCCTCTTTGTTGAGCTTTATTTTCAGCAAATGCATTCATTCATCTTTGAAATGGAAAAAATATTGCAGTGTACTCAATTAAAAGATAACCACACAAGAGAGAGCAACTCAAAAAGGAATAAACCAGTGACTGTCTCCCTCAATCATAGATTCATGGCTGCAACATTTTTACCCTCCAAATCCTACTTTAGGGTGTCGGCATTAACCTGACCTGAAATTCAACGTCCTAAGGTGGCCCATTTCCGGTGAAAGGCGGATTGGCACGGGACATTTCCGAAGGTGGCCCATTACCGGCGAAAGGCGGATTGGCGTGGGAAAGTGTTTGTGATGGATAGAACGCCAAAAAAACAAAGAAATAGTAAACATAAACTGCAAAGGAATAGGAAACCAACCCTAATGATGAATGAAAACTCATTTGGTAATTAAGGAAAATTAAAGATAACAGACTAAACACGTCGAAAATACTCCTCAGATAATAAAAAAAAAATTCACTATTTCTAACAAAAACACCTTTAAAATTTACACAGGTACTAAATTATAAAATGATCAAAAAATGAACGGTAAAAAAGAGTAATTAATGCATGGAAAAAATAAAAAATACACATAACAAAACAAAAAGAACTCCAAGATATTCAATAACACATTAAAAGAAAAACGCTACAGACAAATATAACGAAAAGAAAATAAACCAAAACTACACAAATACACTTGAAAAGTGCTATAAATTAAGGAAAACAGACTAACAACGTTGAAATTAATCCTTAGAAAATAAAAGAATTCACTATTCCTAATGGAAATACGTTTAATAGTTATTTATTGAATTTCAAAACGATATTTGGAACTACCCAATTGAAACAAAAAATATGACGAAGCAAACATAAACAGTGAATAATGTCGAAATTGATCTTTAGAAAATAAATAAAAGAATTCACTATTCCTAATAGAAATACCTTTAAAAGTTATGTACTGAATTTCAAAACACTATTTGGAACTACCCAATTCAAACAAAAGATATGACAAAAAGAACGCTAACAAAAACAATGAACGGTAAAAAAGGTAAATTAATACATGGAGAAAAAAATCACAAATATAACAAAACGAAAAAAACTCCAAAATATTCAGGAATGCATTCAAAGAAAACAAAACGAACAAAATCAAAAGCACAAATATAATGAATTGAGAACCCATAAATGCATGAAAAACATAAAGAGAAAAACAAAAACTACACAAATAACACTTGAAAAATGCTATAAATTAAGAAAACCAAACTAAATATTTCGAAAATACTCCTTAGAAAATAAAAATACATTAAAAAAAAAACACATATATAACAAAATGAAAAGAACTCCCAAGACATTCAGGAACACATTCAAAAAATACACAAATATAACCAGACAAATAGAACACCAAGAAATTCAGGAACACATTGAATAAAAAACACAACGAAAAAATAAAAGGCACAAATATATCAAAACAAAAATAACCCAAAAAATGCATAACTAAAAACTACACAAGAACACTTAGAAAAAATGCTATAAATTAAAAAGAAAACATACTAAACACGTCAAAAATACTCATTATAAAATAAAAGAATTCACTATTCCTAATACAAATGATCTTTAGAAATACACAATTCAAACTAAAAATACGCCAAAAGAATGCTAACAACAAAATATGAACGGTAAAAAGGGAAATTAATGCATAAAAAAAAAACAAAAATACACAAACATAACAAAGCAAAAAAAAATAAAAAACATTCTGGAACACATTCAAAGCAAAACGTAATAGACAAACATAACGAAGCAAAAATGTCACCCCCAAAACTACACAAGAACACTTGAAAAATGCTATAAATAAAGGAAAACGCACTAAATATATCCTAACAAAAACAAAATGGACAACAATAAAAGGGGGAAAATAATGCATGGAAAAAACAAACATAACGAAGCAAAAATGTCACCCAAAATTACACAAGAACACTTGAAAAATGCTATAAATAAAAGAAAATGTACTAAATACATCCTAACAAAAACAAAATGGACAACAATAAAAGGGGAAAAATAATGCATGGAAAAAACAAACATAACGCTAAATACATCCTAACAAAAACAAAATGGACAACAATAAAAGGTGGAAAATAATGCATGGAAAAAACAAAAAACTCACAAATATAACAAGACATTCAAGAACACATTCAAAGAAAAATGCAATGAACAAAAACAAAAGTCACAAAATAACAAAGCAAAAATAGCACAAAAAGACAGAAAAAACATAAAGAGAGAACCAAAAACTACACAAGAACACTTGAAAAATGCTATAAATTAAGGAAAACAACTAAATACATCATAAATACTTGTAATGGACAAACATAACAAAACCAAAAATAAAAAATAAAAAAAATCAAAAACATGCAAGAAAACATTCAAAGCAAAACGTAATGAACAAACATAACGAAGCAAAAATATCACCCAAAACTACATAAGAACACTTGAAAAATGCTATAAATAAAGAAAAACACACTAAATACATCCTAACAAAAACAAAATGAACAATAATAAAAGCGGGAAATTAACACATGGAAAAAAAAAAACAAAAAACTCACAAATATAACAAAACGAAAAGAACTCCAAGACATTCAAGAACACATTCAAAGAAAAATGCAATGGACAAAAACAAAAGTCACAAATATAACAAAGCAAAATAGCACAAAAATGCTGAAAAAACATAAAGAGAGAGAACCAAAAACTACACAAGAAAAATGCTATAAATTAAGGAAAACAACTAAATACATCACAAATACTCGTTATTAAATAAATGAATTCACTAATCCTAATAAAAATACCTTTAAAAATTATTTATAAAAAATTACAAGTAGTAAAATTACAAAATGATCATTGGAAATACACAATTCAAAGTAAAAATGTGCCAAAAGAACGCTAAAAAACAAAATGAACGGTAAAAAGAGAATTTATGCATGGGAAAAACAGAAAATGCAAAAAGAACTCCGACATTCAGGAACACATTCAAAGCAAAACGCAATGGACAAATATAACAAAGCACAAATAACTCAAAACTACACAAGAACACTTGAAAAATGCTATAAATTAAAGAAAACATACTAAATACATCAAAAATAAATATACGTATTGAATTATAAAACGATCTATATATACAATTCAAACAAAAAAAAAAACGAAAGAACGCTAACAAAAACAAAATAAATGGAAATTAATGGATTAATGGATAAGAAAAAAGAATACACAAATATAACAAAACGAAAAGAACTTCAAGGCATTCAAGAACACATTCAAAGAAAAACACAATTGACAAAAAAAAATATATCAAAACAAAAATAACCAAAAAATGAAAGGAAAACATAAAGAGAAAGAACCAAAAACTGCACATGAACACATGGATATGCCAAAAGTACTAAATTATAAAATGATCTTTGAAAATACGCAATTCAAACTAAAAATACGCGAAAAGAATACTAACAATAAAATGTGCACAGTAAAAAGAAAAATTAATGCATGGGAAAAAACAAAAATACACAAATATAATGAAGCGAAAAGAACTCTAAAACATTCATAAACACATCGAAAGCAAAATATCACCCAAAACTACGCAACAACACATAATAAATAAAAATGCACTAAATACGGGGGAAATCATCCTTAGAAAATAAAATAATTTACAATTCAAAAATACCTTTCAAAGTTATTTAAAAATATAAATACTGAATTATAAAACAATCTTTGTAAATACACAATTCAAACAAAAAATATGTCAAAATAACGCTAACAAAAACAAAATAAGCAGTAAAAGGGGGAAATTAATGAATGTAAAAAGAAAAACAAAAAAACACACAAATATAACGAAATGAAAAGAACTCCCAGACATTCTCAGGAACACATTAAAAAAAAAAAAAAACGAAATTGACAAAAACAAAAGTCACTAATATAACAAAGCAAAAATAATACAAAATGCAGAGAAAACATAAAAAGAAAGAACAAGAAAACTACACAAAACACATAAAAATGATATAAATTAGGAAGAACAACTAAATGCATCATCAATACTCCTTAGTAAATAAATGAATTCACAAAAATTATAAAGTGATCATTGGGTTTACACAATTCAAACAAAATTCACTAAACCCTAGAATTATAAAATTATAAAGTATTTACACAATTCAAACAAAAAATACGACGAAAGAACACAAACAAAAACAAAATGAACAGTAAAAGGGGTAAATTAATGCATCGGTAAAAAACAAAAAACACACAAATATAACGAAATGAAAAGAACTACAAAACATTCATAAACACATTCAAAGAAAAACACGGTGGACAAAAACAAAAATAACAAATATAACAAGCACAAAAATACAAGAAAAACAGATGTAAAGCATAACATCATATACAAATACACAATCAATTGGATTGAAGAAAACACCTCTTTAAGTCACCTATTCCACTACAAATACACAATCAATTGGATTGAAGAAAACCCCCGTTAAGTCACCTATTCCACTACCCCTTATTCCCAGTCCAAAACAAAACAAACACAGAAAAAATAAAAACTTAGAAAGGGCGATAAGAAATCGAAAAATTTACCTGCTTACTCCCATCCTTCTCAACCTTCCCTTATTCCAAACAATGCTTGATGTGAATATCCTCGAGCTACGGATACTCTGTTCTAGTCGGTAAATTGTTAGATAAATGAAATTGAAATTCCTAATAAGCTCTAATGAAGTATTCTATTTATATTGGAAGAGTGGAGAGCATGTCAAAAAGCATTCACAAAGCCGGTGTGGTACCTTGTGGTTAGGTGTCTAGCCCAGTCCTGTTACGTGGTGGTTGCTAATGTGATGGTTGATAGCGGATCTAACTTCTTACACTAAGAGTGAACTTGAGAAAAGGCCTGCAATACTTGAATTTTGAGGTTAGTAAAACTGTAAAATTGCACTATAACCCCGTCACGGAGTATTAAGAGAATACAAATATAAAAGAAACTAATCATGAAGAGGAACCACTATAGGCATTCTCAATTATTTTACCTGTCAGAAGGTGGGTAATTTCTTTCTTTACACTGCAGTTATGGCTTCATCTTTCAATGAGTCCACTTTACCTTTCACTTTTCCTCTTTTGTTGAGCTTTATTTTCAGCAAATACATTCATTTGTCTCTGAAATGGAAAAAAAATTGCAGTGTACTCAATTAAAAGATAACCACACAAGAGAGAGAGCAACTTACAACAGAATAAAAATCAGCGATTGTTCTCCCCCAATCATAGATTCATGGCTGCAACATTTTTACCCTCCAAATCATACTTAACCGGACAAAAACAACGAAAAGAAAATAAACCAAAATTACACAAGAACACTCAAAAAGTGCTATAAATTAAGAAAAACAGACTAACAAGATCGAAATTAATCCTTAGTAAATAAAGATTATTCCTTATTTACTAATGAAAATACCTTTAAAAGTTATTCACTGAATTTCAAAACAATATTTGGAACTACCCAATTCAAACAAAAAATATGCCGAAAGAACGCTAACAAAAACAATGAACAACGTTGAAATTAATCCTTAGAAAATAAAAGAATTCACTATTCCTAATGAAAACACCTTTAAAACATATTTACTGAATTTCAAAACGACATTTGCCCAATTCAAACAAAAAATATGACAAAAGAACGCTAACAAAAACAATGAACGGTAAAAAGGAAAAATTAATACATGAGAAAAAAACACACAAATATAACAAAACGAGGAATACATTCAAAGAAAAACAGAACGAACAAAAACAAAAACACAAATATAATGAAGCGAGAATAACCCATAAATGCATGAAAGAAATAAAGAGAAAATAAAAAACTACAAAATCACACTCGAAGAATGCTATAAATTAAGAGAAACATACTAAATATTTCAAAAGTACTCCTTAAAAAATAAACACATTGGAAAAAAAACACAAATATAATGAAACGAAAAGAACTCCAAGACATCCGGGAACACATTCAAAAAATACACACAAATATAACCAAACAAAGAGAACTCCAAGACATCCAGGAACACATTCAAAGAAAAACAGAACGAACAAAAACAAAAGCACAAATATAATGAAGCGAGAATAACCCATAAATGCATGAAAGAAATAAAGAGAAAATAAAAAACTATACAATATAACACTTGAAAAATGCAATAAATTAAGAGAAACAAACTAAATATTTCAAAATATTCCTTAGAAAATAAACATATTGGAAAAAAAAAACACAAATATAATGAAACGAAAAGAGACATCCAGGAACATATTCAAAAAATTTGTATCCAAACAAAGAGAATTCCAAGACATCCAGGAACACATTCAAAGAAAAACAGAACGAACAAAATCATAAGCACAAATATAATGAAGCGAGAATACCCCATAAATACATGAAAGACATAAAGAGAAAATCAAAAACTACACAATAACACTCAAAAAATGCTATAAATTAAGAGAAACAAACTAAATATTTCAAAAATACTCCTTGAAAAATAAACACATTGGAAAAAAAAAAAAAAATATATATATATATATATATATATATAAAATAATAATAATAATAATAATAATAATAATAATAAACATAAAGAACTCCAAGACATATATATATATATATATATATATATATATATATATAAATAAATAAAATAATAATAATAATAATAAAACATAAAGAACTCCAAGACATCCAGGAACACATTCAAAAAATACACACAAATTTTAACAAAACAAAAAGAACTCCCAAGAAATTCAAGAACACATTGAATGAAAAACACAACAGACAAAAACAAAAGGATTCAAATATATCAATACGAAAATCACCCAAAAAATGCAAGGAATCAAAAACTACACAAAAACACTTGAAAAATGCTATAAATTAAAGAAAACATACTAAATACGTCAAAAATACTGTGCTTTAGTGCTTATAAAATAAAAGAATTCACTATTCCTAATAAAAATTATCTTTAGAAATGCGCAATTCAAACTAAAAGAACTCCAAAACATCCAGGAACACATTCAAAAAATACACACAAATTTTAACAAAATAAAGAGAACTACCAAGAAATTCAAGAACACATTGAATGAAAAACACAACGGACAAAAACAAAAGGCTTCAAATATATCAAAACGAAAATCACCCAAAAAATGCAAAGAATCAAAAACTACACAAAAACACTTGAAAAATGCTATAAATTAAAAAAACATACTAAATACGTCAAAAATACTGTGCTTATAAAATAAAAGAATTCACTATTCCTAATAAAAATTATCTTTAGAAATGCGTAATTCAAACTAAAAATACGTCAAAAGAACGCTAACAACAAAAAATATGAACGGTAAAAAAAGGGAAATTAATGCATGAAAAAAAAATACACAAAACATAACGAAGCGAAAATAACTTACAAAGTACACATTCAAAGCAAAACGTCATGGACAAAGATAATGAAGCAAAAATATCACCCAAAACTACACAAGAACACTTGAAAAGGGCTATAAATAAAGGAAAACGCACACAAAATGAACAGTAAAAGCAGGAAATTAATGCAAACAAAAAACACACAAATATAACGAAACGAAAAGAACTCCCAAGACATTCAGAAACACATTAGACAAAAACAAGTCACAAATATAACAAAGCTAAAACAGCACAAAAATGCAAGAAAAACATAAAGAGAAAGAACCAAAAACTATACAAGAACACTTGAAAAATGCTATAAACCAAGGAAAATAACTAAATACATCATAGAAATTCTTAGTAAAATGATCATTGGAAATACGCATTTCAAACTAAAAGTATGCCAAAAGAACGCAATCGAACAAAATGATTATGCATGGGAAAAAACAAAAAATGCAAAAATATAACAAAGCGAAAAGAACTCCAAGACATTCAAAAACACATTCAAAGAAAAACTCAACAGACAAATATAACAAAGTAAAAATAACACGAAACTACACAAGAACACTTGAAAATAACATATAATATAAATATTTAATTATAAAACGATTTATAGAACTACACAATTCAAACAAAAAATACGCCGAAAGAATGCAAAAAAAAAATGAACAGTAAAAGGGGGAAACTAATGCATGGTAAAAAGCAAGACATTAAGGAACACATTCAAAGAAAAAGACAATAGACAAAACAAGTCACAAACATAACAAATCGAAAATAGCACAAAAATGCAAAGAGAACCATAAAGAGAAAGAACCAAAAACTACACAAGAAACATACAAAATACGTCAAAAACACTCCATTGAAAATAAAAAGTATTTAAAAAATAAAAGTGTATGGAATGTTCATGTTGATGATTATTATTATTTACAATAACAACCAATGGTAATTAATAGAATCTAGCCTTATACAACAAACATCAAAGATTATTACCATGATCTTCTTACCGAATAGAAGTTCTAATTCATTAATCATAGAGAATTAATGAGAGAAGGTCATTTACCTATTGTATTCTATATCAGATTGTAATTCCTCAAGCTCTCTATACCCCCCACGATTTATAGAACTACACAATTCAAACAAAAAATACGCCGAAAGAATGCAAAAAAAAATGAACAGTAAAAGGGGGAAACTAATGCATGGTAAAAAGCAAGACATTAAGGAACACATTCAAAGAAAAAGACAATGGACAAAACAAGTCACAAACATAACAAATCGAAAATAGCACAAAAATGCAAAGAGAACCATAAAGAGAAAGAACCAAAAACTACACAAGAAACATACGAAATACGTCAAAAACACTCCATTGAAAATAAAAAGTATTTAAAAAATATAAGTGTATGGAATGTTCATGTTGATGATTATTATTATTTACAATAACAACCAATGGTAATTAATAGAATCTAGCCTTATACAACAAACATCAAAGATTATTATCATGATCTTCTTACCGAATAGAAGTTCAAATTCATTAATCATAGAGAATTAATGAGAGAAGGTCATTTACCTATTGTATTCTATATCAGATTGTAATTCCTCAAGCTCTCTATACCCCCCACTTAACCTTCACTTCAACCTGATCAATTATGTAAGTAAAGCAAAACATCATATACAAATACACAATCAATTGGATTGAACACACCTCTTAACTGACCTATTCCACTACCATGATCTTCTTACCGAATAGAAGTTCAAATTCATTAATCATAGAGAATTAAAGAGAGAAGGACATTTACCTGTTGTATTCTATATCAGATTGTAATTCCTCAAGCTCTCTATTTTTACGCCCCACTTAACCTTCACTTCAACCTGATCAATTATGTAAGTAAAGCAAAACATCATATACAAATACACAATCAATTGGAATGAACACACCATGATCTTCTTACCGAATAGAAGTTCAAATTCATTAATCATAGAGAATTAAAGAGAGAAGGACATTTACCTGTTGTATTCTATATCAGATTGTAATTCCTCAAGCTCTCTATTTTTACGCCCCACTTAACCTTCACTTCAACCTGATCAATTATGTAAGTAAAGCAAAACATCATATACAAATACACAATCAATTGGAATGAACACACCTCTTAAGTGACCTATTCCACTACCACTTCTTCCCGGTCCAAAACAAAACAAACACAGAAAAAATAATAACTTATAAAGGGAGATAAAATACCGAAAAACATACCTGCTTACTCCAATCCTTCTCAACCTTCGCTTATTCCAAACAATGCTTGATGTGAATATCCCCAAGCTAGGAATATACTCTGTTCTAGTCGGTAAATTGTTAGATAAATGAAATTGAAATCCCAAATAAGCTAATGGAGTATTCTATTTATATTGGAAGAGTGCGGAGCAAAATGTTCAAAAGCATTTAAAAAGCCGATGTGATACCATGTGGTTAGGTGCTCAGGTCAGCCCTGTTACGTGGTGGTTGCTAGTGTGATTGTTGAGATCTAACTTCTTACACTAAGAGTGTTTCAACCTCCATGTGGATATTAAACCTCTGTGAAAAGAGTGATCGAGAACAAACCTACACAATACTTCAATTTTCAGGTTAGTAAAACTGTAAAAGTGCAATATAACCCCATCACGGAGTATTAAGACAATACAAATATAGAAGAAACTAATCATTTTTACCCTCCAAATGCTACTTTAGCCTTTAATACAACATGATCAATTATATAAAGCAAATATCATATACAAATATGCAATCAACTGGATTTAAGAAAACACCTATTTAAGTGACCTATTCCACTGCCCCTTCTTTCCCAGCCCAAAACAAAACAAACACACAAAAATAATAACTTAGTAAAACTGTAAAAGTGCAATATAACCCCATCACGGAGTATTAAGACAATACAAATATAGAAGAAACTAATCATTTTTACCCTCCAAATGCTACTTTAGCCTTTAATACAACATGATCAATTATATAAAGCAAATATCATATACAAATATGCAATCAACTGGATTTAAGAAAACACCTATTTAAGTGACCTATTCCACTGCCCCTTCTTTCCCAGCCCAAAACAAAACAAACACACAAAAATAATAACTTATAAAGCAGGATAAGAAACCACAGCATTTAACTGCTTACCCCAATCCTTCTCAACCTCAAGCTAGGGATTCTCTGTTGTAGTTGGTCAGTACAGTTTAGTGCTGGTTCCAAATGTAATGGTTGGTTGAATGATGGCCGACCTAACTTCTTACACTAGCAACGTTCAACCTCCTTGTCTAGATATTAAACCTCTGTGAAAAGAAGTGATCGAGAACAGACCTACAATACTTGAATTTTCAGGTTCGAAAAAGTGCACAATGCACTATAACCCCATCGCGAAGTATTTATGAAAAAATAAATAAACTTGTAAGAGAATACAAATAGAGAAGTTAATCATGAAGAGGAACAGTGTATAGGGGCAATTAATCAATTACTTTACCAGTCAGATGGTGGGTAATTTCTTTCTTTACATTGTAGTTTGTTGCTTTATCTCTTCATGAGTCCACTTTGCCTTTCACTTTTCCTCTTTGTTGAATCTTTATTTTCAGCAAATGCATGCATTCGTCTCTGAAATGGGGAGAAAAAAAATTACAGTGTACTCAATTAAAAGATAACCACACAAGAGAGAGCTACTCACAAAATGGAACAAACTAGTGACTCTATAAGTCTATCTCCCCCCAATCATAGATACATGGACGCAACATTTTTACCCTCCAAATCCTACTTTAGGGTGCCGCGGCATTAACCTGAAATTCCATTGTCTGGAATGTTCAAGTTGATTTTTATTTTCAATAACCATTAATCATAGATAATTAATGAGAGAAGGTCATTTACCTATTATATTCTTATCAGTTTCTATTTTTACCTACCACTTAAACCTTCACTTCAACCTGATCAATTATGTATGCAAAGCATAAAATTTTATACAAATACACAATAATCAATTGGATTGAACAAAACACCTCTTAACTGACCAATTCCACTACCACTTCTTCCCGGTCCAAAAAAAAAAACACAAACACAGAAAAAATAATAACTTATAAAGATAAGAAACCGAAAAATTTACCTGCTTACTCCAATCCTTCTCAACCTTCCCTTATTCCAAACAATGCTTGATGTAAATATCCTCGAGCTAGGGATATACTCTGTTCTAGTCGGTAAATTGTTGGATAAATGAAATTGAAATCCCTAATAAAGCATATGGAGTATTCTATTTATATTGGAAGAGTGCGGAGCAACATGTTCAAAAGCATTTAAAAAGCCAATGTGATACCTTGTGGTTAGGTGCTCAGGTCAGAGCCCAGTTATGTGGTGGTTGCCAGTGTGATGGTTGATGGCAGATCTAACTTCTTACACTAACAGTGTTCAACCTCCATGTAGATATTAAACCTCTGTGAAAAGAGTGATCGAGAACAGACCTACACAATACTTGAATTTTCAGGTTAGTAAAACTGTAAAAGTGCACTATAACCCCCATCACGGAGTATTAAGAGAATACAAATATAGAAGAAACTAATCATGATGAGGAACAGTGTATAGGCATTCTCTGGGGCAATTAATCAATTAATTTACCTGTGGGTAATTTCTTTCTTTATACTGCAGTTTATGGCTTCATCTTTCAATGAGTCCACTTTATCTTTCACTTGACCACACGAGAGAGCAACTCACAATAGAACAAACCAGTGACTCTGCCTCCCCCAACCATAGATAGCTTAATGGCCGCAACATTTTTACCCTCGAAATCCAACATTAGCCTTTAATACAACCTGATCAACTATATAAAGCAGAATATCATATACAAATATGCAATCAACTGGATTTAAGAAAACACCTATTTAAGTGACCGAAAAATAGTAACTTATAAAGCAGGATAAGAAACCACAACATTTAACTGCTTACCCCAATCCTTCTCAACCTCAAGCTAGGGATTCTCTGTTGTAGTTGGTCAGTACAGTTTAGTGCTGGTTCCTAATGTGATGGTTGGTTGAATGATGGCCAATCTAACTTCTTACACTAACAACGTTCAACCTCGGTCTAGATATTAAACCTCTGTGACAAGAAGTGATCGAGAACAGACCATTCATTCAACCAACCATTACATTTGGAACCAGCACTAAACTGTACTGACCAACTACAACAGAGAATCCCTAGCTTGAGGTTGTGAAGGATTGGGGTAAGCAGTTAAATGTTGTGGTTTCTTATCCTGCTTTATAAGTTATTATTTTTGTGTGTTTGTTTTGTTTTGGGCTGGGAAAGAAGGGGCAGTGGAATAGGTCACTTAAATAGGTGTTTTCTTAAATCCAGTTGATTGCATATTTGTATTTGATGTTCTGCTTTATATAATTGATCAGGTTGCATTAAAGGCTAAAGTAGCATTTGGAGGGTAAAAATGATTAGTTTCTTCTATATTTGTATTCTCTTAATACTCCGTGATGGGGTTATAGTGTACCTTTACAGTTTTACTAACCTGAAAATTCAAGTATTGTGTAGGTCTGTTCTCGATCACTCTTTTCATAGAGGTTTAATATCTACATGGAGGTCGAACACTGTTAGTGTAAGAAGTTAGATCTGCCATCAACCATCACACTAGCAACCACCACGTAACAAGGCTTACCTGAGCCACCTAACCACAAGGTATCACATCTGCTTTTTAAATGCTTTTGAATATGTTGCTCCGCACTCTTTCAATATAAATAGAATACTCCATTAGCTTTATTAGGGATTTCAATTTCATTTATCTAACAATTTACCGACTAGAACAGAGTATATCCCTTGCTCGAAGATATTCACATCAAGCATTGTTTGGAATAAGGGAAGGTTGAGAAGGATTGGAGTAAGCAGGTAAATTTTTCGGTTTCGTATCTCCCTCTATAAGTTATTATTATTTTTTGTGTTTGTTTTTGTTTTCGTTTTCGACCGGTAAGAAGGGTTAGTGGAATAGGTCTCACTTAAGAGGTGTTTTGTTCAATCCAATTGATTGTGTCTCACTTAAGAGGTGTTTTGTTCAATCCAATTGATTGTGTATTTGTATTTGTTGTTATGCTTTACATACATAATTGATCAGGTTGAAGTGAAGGTATAACCTGAAATCTAACAGTGGTAGGTAATAATCGAGAGCTTGAGGTTGAAGTGAAGGTATAAGTGGTAGGTAATAATTGAGTATAAGTGAGTTGTCCTCTCTTGTGTAGTTATCTTTTAATTGAGTACACTGCAATTTTTTTCCCCCCCATTTCAGAGACGAATGAATGCATTTGCTGAAAATAAAGCTTCAACAAAGAGGAAAAGTGAAAGGCAAAGTGGACTCATGAAGAGATAAAGCAATAAACTACAATGTAAAGAAAGAAATTACCCAATCTTCTGACTGGTAAAGTAATTGATTAATTGCCCCTGTACACTATTCCTCTTCATGATTAACTTCTCTATTTGTATTCTCTTACAAATTTATTTATTTTTTCATAATACTTCGCGATGGGGTTATAGTGCATTGTGCACTTTTTCTAACCTGAAAATTCAAGTATTGTAGGTCTGTTCTTGATCACTTCTTGTCACAGAGGTTTAATATCTAGACAAGGAGGTTGAACGTTGCTAGTGTAAGAAGTTAGATCGGCCATCATTCAACCAACCATTACATTTGGAACCAGCACTAAACTGTACTGACCAACTACAACAGAGAATCCCTAGCTTGAGGTTGAGAAGGATTGGGGTAAGCAGTTAAATGTTGTGGTTTCTTATCCAGCTTTATAAGTTATTATTTTTGTGTGTTTGTTTTGTTTTGGGCTGGGAAAGAAGGGGCAGTGGATTAGGATTGGGGTAAGCAGTTAAATGTTGTGGTTTCTTATCCAGCTTTATAGGTGTTTTCTTAAATCCAGTTGATTGCATATTTGTATATGATGTTTGCTTTATATAATTGATCAGGTTGTATTAAAGGCTAAAGTAGCATTTGGAGGGTAAAAATGATTAGTTTCTTCTATATTTGTATTGTCTTAATACTCCGTGATGGGGTTATATTGCACTTTTACAGTTTTACTAACCTGAAAATTGAAGTATTGTGTAGGTTTGTTCTCAATCACTCTTTTCACAGAGGTTTAATATCCACATGGAGGTTGAACACTGTTAGTGTAAGAAGTTAGATCTCAACCATCACACTAGCAACCACCATGTAACAGGGTTGACCTGAGCACCTAATCACATGGTATCACATCGGCTTTTTAAATGCTTTTGAACATTTTGCTCTTCCAATATAAATAGAATACTCCATTAGCTTATTTGGGATTTCAATTTCATTTATCTAACAATTTATCGACTAGAACAGAGTATATCCCTAGCTTGGGGATATTCACATCAAGCATTGTTTGGAATAAAGCGAAGGTTGAGAAGGATTGGAGTAAGCAGGTATGTTTTTCGGTTTTTTTATCTCCCTTTATCAGTTATTATTTTTTCTGTGTTTGTTTTGTTTTGGACCGGGAAGAAGTGGTAGTGGAATAGGTCACTTAAGAGGTGTTCAATCCAATTGATTGTGTATTTGTATATGATGTTTTGCTTTACTTACATAATTGATCAGGTTGAAGTGAAGGTTAAGTGGGGGGTATAGAGAGCTTGAGGAATTACAATCTGATATAGAATACAATAGGTAAATGACCTTCTCTCATTAATTCTCTATGATTAATGAATTTGAACTTCTATTCGGTAAGAAGATCATGATAATAATCTTTGATGTTTGTTGTATAAGGCTAGATTCTATTAATTACCATTGGTTGTTATTGTAAATAATAATAATCATCAACATGAACATTCCATACACTTATATTTTTTAAATACTTTTTATTTTCAATGGAGTGCTTTCGACGTATTTTGTATGTTTCTTGTGTAGTTTTTGGTTCTTTCTCTTTATGTTCTCTTTGCATTTTTGTGCTATTTTCGATTTGTTATGTTTGTGACTTGTTTTGTCCATTGTGTTTTTCTTTGAATGTGTTCCTGAATGTCTTGCTTTTTACCATGCATTAATTTAAATTTTTAGTTTTCATTTATCTAACATTGTACTAACTAGAATAGAGTATCCCTAGCTTGTGGTTGAGAAGGATTGGAGTAAGCAGGTAAATGTTGTGGTTTCTTATCCCTCTTTATAAGTTATTATTTTTTCTGTGTTTGTTTTGTTTTGGGCTGGGAAAGAAAGGGCAGTGGAATAGGTTTAAATACGTGTTTTCTTAAATGCAGATTGTGTATTTGTATATGATGTTTTGCTTTATATAATTGATCAGGTTGTATTAAAGGCTAAGTGGAAGGTGGAAAATAAAGAACTTGAAGAATTGAACAGTGAAACTAATAGGAAATTAACAGGTAAATGACCTTCTCTTATTGGTGCTCTTTGATTAATGAATTTGAACTTCTCTTCGGTAGGATCATGGCAGTAATCTTTGATGTTTATTGCAGAGTGCCAGATTCTTTGTTCGGTTGCTCTATTAATTACCATTGGTTATTATTGAAAATAAAAATCAACTCGAACATTCCAGACAATGGAATTTCAGGTTAATGCCGGCACCCTAAAGTAGGATTTGGAGGGTAAAAATGTTGCAGCCATGAATCTATGATTGAGGGAGACAGAGTCACTAGTTTGTTCCATTTTGGGAGTTGCTCTCTCTTGTGTGGTTATCTTTTAATTGAGTACACTGTAATTTTTTTTTTCCCATTTCAGAGATGAATGAATGCATTTGCTGAAAATAAAGCTCAACAAAGAGGAAAAGTGAAAGGCAAAGTGGACTCATGAAGAGATAAAGCAATAAACTACAATTGGGGGAGACAGAGTCACTAGTTTGTTCCATTTTGTGAGTTGCTCTCTCTTGTGTGGTTATCTTTTAATTGAGTACACTGTAATTTTTTTTTTTCCCATTTCAGAGATGAATGAATGCATTTGCTGAAAATAAAGCTCAACAAAGAGGAAAAGTGAAAGGCAAAGTGGACTCATGAAGAGATAAAGCAATAAACTACAATGTAAAGAAAGAAATTACCCACCCTTCTGACTGGTAAAGTAATTGATTAATTGGCCCAAGAGAATTGTGTATACACTGTTCCTCTTCATGATTAACTTCTCTATTTGTATTCTCTTACAAATTTATTTATTTTGTCATAATACTTTGTGATGGGGTTATAGTGCATTATGCACTTTTGCTAACCTGAAATTCAAGTATTGTAGGTCACGATCACTTCTTGTCACAGAGGTTTAATATCTAGACAAGGAGGTTGAACGTTGCTAGTGTAAGAAGTTTGATCGGCCATCATTCAACCAACCATTACATTTGGAACCAGCACTAAACTGTACTGACCAACTACAACAGAGAATCCCTAGCTTGAGGTTGAGAAGGATTGGGGTAAGTAGTTAAATGTTGTGGTTTCTTATCCTGCTTTATAAGTTATACAACCTGAGAAGAATATAAATGACCTTCTCTCATTAATTCTCTATGATTAATGGTTATTGAAAATATAAATCAACTTGAACATTCCAAACAATCGAACTTCAGGTTAATGCCGCGGCATCCTAAAATGGAACAAAAACTAGTCACTCTATCTCCCCCAATCATAGATTCATGGCTACAGCAGGGCGTACGAGGCTGCTGGAAACAGAATTCTGTGCACTTGTCTTGACTTCTAGGCTATTTTTCTCATCTAAAACCATTTTATTGGCACTTATGGTCTTCAACAAAGTTGTAGCCCTTTAAGTTGGATTTCCAATAGTGCAAGAGTCACTCCATTTGGACATTTCTAGGCCGAGATATGGTCAAAAAACCGAACAGTGTCCGAAATGAGCGAAAATTACAATGTCATCCCTGATCCAGTTTTCACTGGAAATGTACCAAAAATCGTACCCCTGGCGTACGCCCATCCCTGAGGGCGTCCCAATCTGCTCTGCTCTATTTAGGCGCGTTTTTGTGTCATTTCAACTTGGTTTTGGACCTTGTTCCAACCCTAGACATTTCCTTTCACTTCCTTTCATATTTTTAGGTTAGATTAGACTTAGATTTATGTTTCTTAACACTTTTGAAGCTTGTAATCTTGGATTTGAAGCTTGGATTCCAACATTTCAAGATTTCACCATCCATTTTCAATAGAGAAGTTTTCCTTCCTTTTATCTCTTTCTTTTGCAAGATTTATGCTTGTTACTTATGCTTTTGTGTTCTTTATGCTATTTAATCATGAGTAGTTAGTTTATGGACTTGAGTTAGGGTTGTATTATCTATCTTGATGCTTGATTTGTGATTATTGCAAAAAAGGGGAAGAACTCCAACCTAGGGTTCATGTGTTTGTGAAGGTGTTGTGTTTATATCTTGTTAATGTTTGATGTACACATTCATTAGCTTGTTTTTGGAGGATTCTTTGCCTCAACAAGAGTTGGGTGATGAATTCAAGCCACCCCTTGCATAACCCGATTTCTTCCTACGAAAATAGGGGAAATTGGGGGTTTTAGATGCTTTGTGTTCTTGAAGAACTTGGAGTTGATTCACCACGAGAGTGGGGCAATTCCTTGTTCTAATCCTTGTTAATTTGCTCACGTGAGTGACTTATAGACTAGGATTATTACGTGCATCCCCTCTATTCTTTGGTTGTGTGATTTTCCCCAATCCTTAGGTTGTGCTATGCATCTAGAAGATAATGCTCCCTAGCTTGAGTCCTATTTCTTTATTTTGTGTTTATCTTTGTGTATATGTGCTAGTCTTATCTTTTCCTTAAACTTGTAGTTTGCTTAGCTTCTTGTTGATTTCCTTATGCTAGTGCATAGTTTATTGTGATTGCATATTGCGTGCCACATCCCCCAATCCCCTAAGGACGACATAACACACCCGAGCTCACATCTCATTTTTGCAACATCAAAAATTGGCGCCGTTGCCGGGGATTGGCAATTTGGTGGTTCTATGTGATTGCTTGTTTTACTAGCATTGGAGTTTAGGGAATCTTAGGAGACTAAGCTTTTTCTTTCTTTTTGTTTGTTTTTATTGTTTAAAGAGGTAATTGTTTTACCTTGTTTGAGTTTTGGTTGAAAGATCCATACTTTGCATACGCTCTAGATTCAAAAGGGGGAGCTTTTACCACTCAATCAAGAACTTTCACCATGGATGAGTATGCATTCCAAGGAGGATATTATGATTCTCAATCTTATGGGGGTAACCAACATGATGGATATGGAGATCCTTGCACAACTCAACCCCCACCTCCTAACCATTACTATGATGCTCAATCTCAATATTTTTGTCCACCACAATTCCACCCCAAAACTCATACTCTCAATACACTCCAAACTTCCAAGATCCTTACCCACCACAATCTTACCAAGACTTACCTTGTCATTCCCAACCTCCATACCATAATCCATATCCTCAACAATACCAAGATCCCCAATATGCTTTTAATGATCAATACCCTCAATGTTTACAAGATTACAATCCACCTCAACATCTTTTCCCACCACAAGATTACTCTCCAAATCCATATCCCTTACCCATTCATTGGTTATTTTCACGTGGGTCCACAGAAAAAGTCAACATCAAGAACATGTGAGAGTAGGGGTGTTAGCGAACAGAGCTTTCGACAAACTACTCTGTTCGTATTCGGTAAACGTTCGTTTATGTTCGTTTGTTAAGGTAAACGAACATTAACAAACAAAATTTAGAGCTCGGTTAATAAACGAACAGAGCTTGAACAGTTCTAGGCTCGTTTGTTAAGAGATCGTGAACAAGCTCGTTTATATTCGTTTAATAATGTTCGTAAACAAGTTCGTTTGTGTTCGTTTAATAATGTTCGCGAACATGTTCACAGCCATATATATTATATTATATTATATTATATTAGTTATGTAGTCGTGTTTTTGTTTGATTATTGTTCGTGAACGTAGATTATTTATTGTTCACGAACGAATTGTGATCATGAACATGTGCAGGTGTTTGTTTATTAAGTGTTCATGAACGTAAATAAATATGTTTGTGAACGTGCTTGTTAATGAACATGTTTGTCAACGTGTTCGTTAATGTTAACGAACACGTTTGAGAACATGTTCACGAACATTAACAAACATTAACGAACATTCAATATATTTTATTAGGAAGAGAGATTTTTTAGGAATTGGGCGAAAAGTTAAAATTTCAGGATTTTGTTTTTATATATAGTCTAGATTGTATTACACTATTTTATAATATTAATATAGAATTTTAACACAGAATTATTGTACGAATGGAAAAGTAGAAATCAATAAATTTTATTAGGAAGAGAGATTTTTTAGGAATTGGGCGGGAAGTTAAAATTTCAGGATTTTGTTTTTATATATAGTATAGATAGATTATATTACACTATTTTATAATATTAAAATAGAATTTTTACGCAGAATTATTGTACGAATGGGAAAGTAGAAATTAATATATTTTATTAGGAAGAGAGATTTTTTAGGAATTGGGAGGGAAGTTAAAATTTCAGGATTTTGTTTTTATATATAGTATAAATTGTATTACACTATTTTATAATATTAGAATAGAATTTTAGCGCAGAATTATTGTACGAATGGGAAAATATAAATCACTATATTTTATTAGGAAAAGAGATTTTTTAGGAATTGGGAGGGAAGTTAAAATTTCAGGATTTTGTTTTTATATATAGCATAAATTGTATTACACTATTTTATAATATTAGAATAGAATTTTAGCGCAGAATTATTGTACGAATGGGAAAATATAAATCAGTATATTTTATTAGGAAGAGAGATTTTTTAGGAATTGGGCGAGAAGTTAAAATTTCAGGATTTTGTTTTTATATATAGTATAGATTTACATGAGTGGGGGGTTTTTTGGGGGGTTTGGCCATATATAATTATTATATAATTAATGAGGGGCATTGTATTTAGGCCGGAACCCCAAAGTTCAAAGGTCCATGCCAAGTTCACCTGGCAGCAGCATCCTATTTGGTTAATTCTTCACTAGGAGGCTCGGTGAGGATACGATATCAATGGGAAAGCGCCTTCATCGCCAGTTTGTCCGCAGCCGTCTTGCCTTCGTTCTGGTATCCTCGCTGCCTCCTTGCGGCATCTCTCAATGATGTTCCCCTCGCTAACTTGGTTGTCCGGTGCCCGCTGAATGGTTCATCCAGTCGCATTCGAGAGTCTTGGTGTGCTTTCAACCGCCCATGCTTCTGCTTCGAACGCCGCCCTATGTTGTTATAAGAGAACCCTCGACACCAACAATCCTCAGCAGCCCCCGCAACCTGTGCAGCAACCGTCCGCCCACGGTTCAATTTCATTGTATAAATTTGGGAAAACAAATTGTAAAAAAAAAAAATTCTTAAAAATAAAAAATCAGAATAAATAGCGAAAATACACACAGCAGATAAAATAACTACACAAAAATAAAGAGGCAGGCATATATTGAAACAAAATAGCAAAGAGAAAATTACACAAGAACATTATTTCAAAATGCTCAATTCAAACTTTTATGCCAAACAAAAGACAACAAAACAAAAAGTCAGAATAGACAACATCGAAAACACATGTAAAGAAAAATGCAACAGACAAAATATACACTTCTAAGAATAAAAAAATTGACAAAAACGAAAACACATGTAAAACGCAACAAACAAAAAATAACAC